GAGCGCAGCCGGGGCCCTCGGGGCCGGACGCGGACTCTCGGGCCGAGCCAGAAGGCAGGTGCAGGCGGCCGCTAACTCGCCCAACTTGCTGCACGGTGGCCGCTCAGAGGCGCGGGCTCAGGGGGCGCCCCCCACCGGCGCGCCGCCGCCTCCCCAGGCCCCAGAGGGGGCGCGCTCAGGGCGGAGTCCCATTCAGGGGCCGAGGCTCTGGGCGCGCCAAGCCGCACCGGCTCCCTGCCGCCGCCGTGGCGTGGCAGCTGCACAATCGGCTCGCTAGCCTCGAGAGCTAGCTCCGCAGGGAAATCCACGCTGGGGCGACCGCCACCAAGACCGCGGGTGGGACAGAGAGCCGGCGGCCGCGGGAGTTCCGCCAGCACCGCTCGCCGACCCGCGGGAGAGCGCGCTAGTGCCCAGGTGGGGCCGAGCTGGGGGGCGGGCTCCCTGAGCGCAGTGAAGCGCGGCGCGCTGGGGTCCTTCTCCCCTCCCTCGCGCCCTCGGCTCCCAGACTCGTTTCTTCTCCCTCCCTCTCGCCACCCCCTCCCCCCTCTCTGTCTCCAGTCTCCCCTTTTCTCCTCCCTACGCAATCCTACGTGATTGAGGTTTGGATGAGAAATTCTCAGAGGCAGAGCGAGGGAATTGCAGCTCGTGTCGGCTCTGTCCCGTCCCTCCCCCGAGAGAAAACACAACCACCGGCCGGTTAAAGGACCCTTGGTGCGCAAAGAAGGGGCCAGGGGTGGGCGAGCTGAGAGAACGCGGTCCACCGTCTCTCCGATAAGCTGGAGCATGTAGAATTTTTCCGTTCAGGAAGGAAGGCAGTGGACACTGGATAAAGTAACAATGGCCTCTTGGGCCCTCATGTTGGGGCCCTCCTTTAGCACGTTTTGGAACAGGAAGAAGTGTTTTGAGCTACTTGCAACCTAGATTTCTTGGTTCTATCTGGAAAACTCCAAAACACGCTCAATCCCGAAACAGGGGCCAAGTAAGCCCCGCACAGAGGGGATAATGGGGGTAGGGTGAGGGGGTGATGTAGGCAAGGGCAGCCAGCAACCAGCTTTAGGGCAGTTAGGTGTCCGGGTGTGCTCCTTGTGATTGACAGCTGGATCGTACAGAAAACTCAGCAGAGGAGATAATGTCATCCAAGTTGGAACACAGCATGAAAGATTTCAGTCACACAAAACGAGTAAGCACCTTCCATTCATGCTAAAGTCTGCAAGTGGCTATTAGTTATACTTACAATCTTTCTTCAACTTGTCTTCAAATACCCCTACTCCCTTCCCTTCACAGACACTTCCCTAAGCATCTAGGGTAGCTCAATACATGGACACCAAAGGATTAAATGAATAATGTATGTTGGATACACTTTAATAGAGAGCAAGGAAAATACACACCCTGGAAACTACTGGAAATGGCTGTGGGAAACCCAGGGGCCCTAAGAATTCTCTAGATGTGGTGACACACCTGTGGGTCTAGCTGAGATTCACTTGGACAGTGAGAAGGACTGTGATCCGTAAGGTTGTTTAGACCGAGCCTGTCGTCTAGCAGCTCTTCTGTGTCTGGGGGCCTGGCGCTCCCAATCTGGCAGCTGGCAAAGCAGTCTCAGAGGCTGGCAGACAGGGGTTCATGGGGCAGACAGCTGGGAGGAGGATGAAATAGGCAAGGCATCCCTGGGGAGAGGGGAATCCCAACTGTCAGTGGGAAGCACACACGTCCCCTGCAGTCGCCTGCAGCAGTTCTGTGGGGCTAAATGAGGACAAGTGGACGCATCCTTGGAATTCCAACAATAGAGAACGAGACAGGTGGAAAAAATGTATTTTATGTAGGTATTTGTGTGTGGGGGGGTGGTATTCATTCTCCAAAAATGAAGCAGAATACATTTTCAAAAGTGCATCTGGGTGGAGAAAGGGGATTACTTAAAAGCAATCAGTGACACCATATGGGGACTATCAGTTCGATAAATGCCCACATTCACAAATAAAATGATTTTCCTTGGCTACCAGAAGACTTGTCTCATTCTTGAGCAAGGCAGGCACAGATAGTAGTGACTGGCTTTGGGGCCTCCCTGCCTTTTGTAATTCCAACACTCAAACAGAAACAGGTCAGCTAAGGGGAGGTATGCAGAGAAATTGACCAAGAAGGTGGTATATAATGAGGCATTGAGGAAATCACTGTCGAATTCTGAGTCTGTTTTGTATCCTTGAAATGGGCATAATCATCCCCATCTACTTCACAGAACTGAGTATGTTTGTCTAAGCACTTTCAAAACTGGAAACTGCCAGTTGAGTGACAGAGATGATGGCAGTGTTTAATGTCTTTAAAAGAACATGCATCTGATTCACCTGCTTGACAAAAATGCAGATTGCTGGTGGCTCCTTACAATTTGAAGCTGAATCTCTGTGGGTAGATCCCAGGAATTTGAAGTGTTAACAAGTTTTTCAGGTATCAGAGTTTGAGAATTTAATAGATACATACACTGTAAATAATAGTAGAAGACAGACATGAACCCAGACACTCAAAACCTGGCCTGCTGTTGCCATCAAGTCGATTCCGACTTATAGTGACCCTTTAGGACAGAGTAGAACTGCTCCATAGGGTTTCCAAGGAGCAGCTGGTAGATTCAAATTGCCAGCCTTTTGGCTAGCAGCTGAGCTCTTAACCACTGGACCACTAGGGCTCCTCAAAACCTGGCACAAATCCTCAACATTGCAGTCCTATGCCCCCCAAAAAAGGCCTAAAAAGAGTGCATGTTCTCTAAACTTTGAGTGCAGTTGAATTTTCTTTTCTGTAGGTTTATGAGAAATGAAGATGTTCTGATGCAGAAGGTAAGTAACGTCGCAGCTTAGGATAGAAGGAAGTGCTGGTGGAAGAGATGAAAAAGCAGAAAACAGTTGCTGTTTGAAGTTCTCCTGTCTGTCTTGAATGACAGCATCAAGGTAGGCATTTAAAGAACAAAACAAAAACAGTAAATGCCAGCTTTCCGAGAGTGACATTATTTCTCTCTTCAGATCTCTATTAAAAGAATGTGGTGTAGGACTAACGGACCACAGCTACCAAGGCCTCCACCAGACTGAGTCTAGTACAGCTAGATGGTGCCTGGCTACCACCATTGACTGCTCTGACCGGGATCACAACAGAGGGTTCTGGACAGAGCTGGAGAAGCATGTAGAACAAAATTCTAACTCACAAATGAAAGACCAGATTTACTGGCCTAAAGGAGACTGGAGAAACCCCGAGAGTATGGCCCTCAGACACCCTTTTAGCTCAGTGGTGAAGTCATTTCTGAGGTTCACCCTTCAGCCGGGGAGTGGACAGCCCCATAAAACCAAATGGGACTAATGAGGCAGAGCAGTCCAGGGACAAGGTCCAGAAGGCAGAAGGGGACAGGAAAGCTGGTGATAGGAAACCCAAGGTTGAGTTAGGATAGTGTTGATGTGTTGTGAGGTTGCTAACCATTGTCATAGGGCAACATGTGTACTAACTGTTAAATGAGAAACTATTTTGTTCTGTAAGCCTTCGTCTAAAGTGTGAATAGCAGCACAATTGGAAGAGCATAGTCGATGTCACTGAACTGTGCATGCAGAAATTTTTGACATGGTGTATCTTTGGCTATGTACATTTTCACCAAAAAAAAAAAAAAAGATTGAGAAGGGAGAGGGTTGACATGTTGTGGGGTTGTAAACCAATGTCATAAAACAATACGTGTACTACTGTTTCATGAGAAACTATTCGTTCTGTAAGCCTTCACCTGAAGTACAATTCAAAAGAAAACAAAAAGAATGTGGTGTTTTGATTCCATCAGACAAAAAAGACTTTACCTTTTTTTCCGCTCACACTATTGGAGCTATCTCAGAGTACTTTGGAACTGTTTAGCCCTGTAGGCCTCAGCAGCATCATTTTCTCCATTTTTTCCAAGGCGAAGAAGAGGTAAGTATAATTTGAGAAGTTATCTAGGACCTGGCTGTTCAGCTCAGCAGCAATGCTAAAATTAACCTTTTGGTATCCAGCAAGTCATCATTGTCCTACCTACCGTTGTCCACTAAATCTCCTAAATCTTCCTCCACGGCTAAGACATCTCCAATATCTTTGCATTTTGGGGGTCAAGAATGAAATCAAATCAATCTACTGATGACTTAAGTAAAACAACTAGATATTTTAATTGAAAGGTCGAAGTCTAAGAAATAACAATACTTTGATTTGTATGCCATCTTTCTTTGAATAACTTGAGAATTTCCTGTT